CCCCAAAACCCCAAAACCCCAAAACCCCAAAACCCCATTATATAATAATTTTTAATCCAATTGTAAGTCATGAGTTTTGAGCAGATTTTGACTGGGGAATTTAGGGTCTTGGTAGCCGGACTAACCTCTGTTTAGAGACATGGAGTGCGAACTTTGTTATGAAGAGTTTGACGCGGACATTAGAGTCGCGAAGAGCATCCATCCTTGCGGTCATAGCTTCTGTGATTCGTGTATTATGAGAATTTGGAAGGATAGAATCGTCAGATGCCCCATTTGTAGAACCATGCAACCTACACATGTTAAAATGCCCAAGACGAATTATGCGTTGATGAAGTTGATACAGCTGGAGAAGATCGATGTTAATGTCTTCTCTGAAAACATTTTAGATATTAATGAAGAGGCTCTTTTGAATGGAATTGATGACTTAAATTTACAAAGAGTTACCTCAAATGAGGTTGTCCTGAACCAGCTGTAAGTGAGGTGAAAGGGGCTTAAGGGATTGAAGGATTGATCTGATTGGTTTAGACAACAATTTGATGATAAGATTAAGGAAATGAGGAAGAAAGAGTCGGCAAAAGGTAAGGTTTAGGGAATAGTTTTTAGAAAATTGTAGATTTTTAATTTAGGAGTGGAGATATGGTACTTTAGAGGGTTTAAAAGGGTTTAGGATGTGATTTTGGACTATGAGATGATAATTTGGATATTAGTCGATAATAATGAGTGAGGAAATTTGAAAATTTCAGACAAAAACAATTTTGTCAATAAAATCAAACTTAAAAAGGATGAAGAGTTACAAGAGGTTAGCGAATTCAGAAATCAAAAGCTAAGGTACTCTCAAAATAATTATCTATAGATCATACAAGAAGTACTCTTTCAGCAAAAACTCAATTTTCCTGAAGTACTTTATATCCAAAAACTCTACCTGGTTCCTCTGGATGCTCAGGAAAGGATACAATTGCAAGCACTCATACTCTTGCTTAGAGCACTTGTCTCGGAACCTTACAACTCTCTGAATGGTTTATGGATGCTTTAGGCCATTGATCCACAAGATGGTGCTACCATCACTTAATGACAGTATAGCAGAAGATGACTCATCCAAAATCTTACTTGTAGAAGGAGCCATATGCCTCCTTGTTTCTCTCTATAGAACCAGACATTGCTTAGCCAACTATCTTAGAGAGATGTAGGACATTTAAAAATATTTCCAGCTTGTGATCAATAAAAGCCTTTGTGAAACTACCAATGTATGGGATAAGGGTTTAGAAGTGCTCATTTTAATGAAATTTCTAGAAAATTTAATGAACATTTTTAGCAAAGACTCAAGAGGTTATACTTAAAAAATAGGAAATTCAGGTCTTCACTTTGTAAAAATTCAATCTTTCCCTTTCTGCCAGGGGTTTTGGGGTTTTGGGGTTTTGGGGTTTTGGGG